AACTAGTTTGAAGTCCTATGCCTAAAATAAAGTTATTGTATTGTATTGTATAACCTATTTGGTACTGATAAGAAATTAAGATTAAATTAGTAGCGGAGTGACTAAGCGATTGCCTGCGGCACCTCGGTTCACGGGATAACACTTTTGGACACAAATAGGTAATCGTAATGTTTAAGGTATTATTTATTTCTCAAAAGATTACAAATCGCTCACGAGAAATTTAAAAATTTACAAACAATAATAAAGGAATCCATTACGAGCATACAGAATATTAAGTTAAGTTGTGGGTAAAACGTAAACAATTTAAAAGAACAGTAAACATAGGTTTGAGCATAGCGCACAAATTGTAATAGCCGAATAACTAATATGCAACCGAAAACAGAAATAAGGGTGCCTACAGACTAATTTACATTTAATTACAATTTGTATTTTTTTTTGTGGTTAATTTTCCAAAATATGGCGTTTCAATAATTTTTTAAAGAGAGGCAATGTTTTTGATTCTTTTATGTTTTTAGATAAAGCGTTATACAATTTTGCACCGTCAAACATTATATTTTTCTTACCATACTCAGTTCTAACTTTTTGTATGTATATATTAACGGCTCGTCTTAGGTTACGCTTGTGAAAATCTATATTTTTTTAAACAATATTTGCAAATGAATGTCATCGTTAAGTATTCGTTAATCGTAATGTTATCATCATAATCATCATTATTGTTATTATTATGGGGTATCTATAAAGTTTTCTCATCTGGTTGGGCTGTATAAATATATAATTGTAAATGAATATGATAAACCTACATAAACATCAATGAAATTAAATAAATACATAAAAACATACATAAATAAATAAAAACCCAACCAGATGGAAGACCTCGGCAGGGGAGACCAAACGGCCGAGGGTTAGGGGTAAAAGGAAAGAAACCGGTGGACGATGCGGGCGGTATCGAGGAGCACCGCTTTCTGAATTTGAGCTTGGAGCGGTCCATCACGGAGTTTTATTTATTATTATTATTATAGCCTTTCAAAAGTCCATCGTAAAGATAGGCCTCCTCAGTAGAATGCCTTGTTGTGCTTGCGTGTATTTGCCATAGTTGCCATGGTTGGAAGCCTGGTTGGAAACTGTAGTCTTTTTGTTACTTTGCGTTGTTTTCAGGTAGATGCTGCTACCAATCACCTATTATTAGTTTATTTCCCTTTGTCACCTCTTACGACAACCACGGCATGATATGGGTTAGTGGATTTTCTTACGTTGTCGCCAAAGGGGCCGTTATGTGTGCAAAGTTACTTACATTGCACACATTGTACATACAGGGTACATACCCAAAAGCGCCTACACTACAGGAGAAATTAGTATAATAGTGTGTTTCGATATGTGTTTTTGCAATAACGAGTAGCCATTACTGCCATCAGCTCGCCTTTGTTGTGAAAGTATCCCTCATTCACAGAGAAACCTCATTAACTTTATTACGTGACAGTTGATTGACGCGTGTATACGTGCGCTGTATTTCTTGTAACGTAACTCGGCTAATTTCATACCCTTAGAAATATTAACTCGTCAGTAAAATAGCTCTTACATTCTAAGCCAATAATATGAAAATGTTTACTCAATACTTCTGATTTATCCGTAATTTAAATTAAACTAGTTTTTATGGATTTTATCGCGTATTAACTTATTTTATATTCACGGGGAGGACGTCCGACGAGGTGTTCAACGTCCCAACGTTAACCCCGGCTACCTTAAAAATTAGTTTTAACTAGCTGTACCCGCGACTTCGTGCGCATGTAATTTAGTTTTAATTTTTTTACGCGGAACCCTAAATCTTTTTCTAAAATAATAAAATAAAAGTAGCCTCCTTATAATATTAGCTATCTACCAGTGAAATCGGTCCAGCCGTTTCGGAGATTAGCGGGAACATACAGACAGACAGACAGACAGAAATTTTAAAAATTTAGTATTTGTTATAAGTATCGTATATATTTTCATATGCACTTAGTGAAAAGCTGTTTTTTTTTACATTACAAACTTTAATTTTATTTATTTGTATAGATTAAATGTGAAGCATTCTTGTAAATATTAGAAATCATTATTTATCCATAATTTTAATGTCATATGGCGATAAAATCTGTAAACATTATTTTATTGAACATTAAGAAGAACAGATGTATGATTAAATTTAATATTAAGAGCACAATATTCTTCTTTTGGTAAGAGAACTTCGGAATAGATTTTTCCTGAGCAGCAAGCTCTCATCTATGCAGCACTACTATTATATTGACTACAATCACCCTTAATGGCATAAGTGGTGGATAAAACTTTACGAAAATATTGTTCTTTATTTTTAAATAACAAAAGGGAAAACAACACCTATGTATATTAATATATTTACATAACGGTGGTAGTGCCACGCGATAGTTTTTGCTGTTGCACGTATGGGCCGGCTCGAGCCGGGTTGGTACCACGACCTCACAGAATACCGGCGTGAAGTAGAAGCTCTGCTTCTGCGTTTCGTCTGGTGAGTGCAGGTGGCCAATTCCCCCCCACCATCAATATGGTAGCGGAATTACACCGAAGACTACCCCAGGAGGGCACCAGCACCCCTGGAGAATCCCTCCCTGAGCATCCACGACCATGTTATTCCACTCCTGAGCGTGGGTGCTCAGGCTACACCGCGTATTCTGGGGGGGAAGGGGGAATTCCGCCCAAAAACATAACTGCTCGGGGCAAATTGAGCAACAATACCGTGAATTTCTGCAACATCAGGGGACTTCACTCGAACCTAAACGCCGTCCACTACCATCTCGAGACGACGAAGCCGGATTTGCTCTTTCTGACCGAAATGCAGGTGTCCTTTCCGGCTGATACTTCGTATCTCTTCTACCCGGGGTACAAATTGGAGCACTCCTTTGTGCCTTGGGCAGGAGTTTGCGTGTATGTCAGAGAGGACATCTGTTCTCGACGCCTCGGCAGTCTTGAAGGTTCGGACCTGTCCATCCTTTGGCTACGCGTAGACAGCGACGACCATCCGCGCGTCTACGGGTGCCTCTATAGGTCCCAGCGGTAATGCCGAAACAGACCGACTCATCGACCACGTCAAAATGACTACAGATTCCTTGCTACAACAGGTCCCATCCGTATAAATCGTGATCCTTGGCGATTTTAATGCCCACCACGCCGAATGGCTCGGTTCACGTTTAACCGATCATGCGGGGAGATCTGTTTATGACTTTTCTTTGGCATATGGTCTTACACAACTGGTTACTTTGCCTACGTGGATTCCAGATGTGGAGGATCATACACCTTCCCTGTTGGGCCTTCTACTGATCTCTTATCCGGACGGATATCAGGTTTCCGTCGATGCCCCTCTCGGCTCTTCGGACCATTGTCTGATCCGGAGTTTGGTGCCACTCACGCTCCCCTCGTGGTTGCGTTCTGCAAGTTGCCGCCGTGTTTGGCATTACAGGTCGGCGGATTGAGACGGAATGAAGTCTTTCTTTGCATCCTACCCATAGGGGCGGGTTTGCTTCTCGCCGGATGATCCCAGCGCTGTTGCTGACTCTGTCACAGATGTGGTGCTACAGGGAATGGAACTATTTATTCAATCATCTGTGGTGCCCATCGGAGACAGATCATCATGCCTGGTTTGCGGCTTCGGCGACTCGGCACCAGCACACTTAAAAAATAGTATAACTTCGCCTCCAGGTCCTTCAAAAGAGTTATTGCTAAGGCAAAGTCAGAGCACATAGGCAGGATTGGCGAGAAATTAGTTCGCCTTCTCATGCATTTTGGTCTTTCGCCAAGGCTATCCAAAGAAATTTCTGTAAGTCATCACTACCATCTCTGCACAGGGAGGACCACTCACTGGCCCAAGGCGCAAAAGACAAAGCCGACCTTTTAGTCTCCCTTTTTGCGTCCAACTCGACTCTTAATGACGGGCGGAAAACACCACCGACCATCCCGCGGTGTGAGTGCTCCATGCCAGATGTGCTGTTCTCACAGCGCTCGGTTATCAAAACACTCCTCTCTCCGGACATCCAGAACTCGAGTGGGCCTGATGGAATGCCCCCAATTGTACTGAGGACGTGTGCTCCGGAGTTGGTACCGGTTTAAACGCGTCTTTTCCGGTACTTCTACTCCCAAGGCGCAGTCCCGAATTCATGGAAGACAGCTTTTGTCCACACGGTCCCTAAAAAAGGCGACTGCTCAGACCCGTCCCACTACAGGCCAATCGCGATCACCTCCTTGTTCTCCAAAATAATGGAATTCATTATTAAGTGTCAGCTCATGCGGTACCTTGAGGATCACCAGCTGATTAGTGCCCGCCAATACGGCTTTCAACGTTTTCGATCAGCTGGTGATCTTCTGGTCTACCTGACCCATAGATGGGCGGAGGCAGTAGAGTCCAAAGGGGAGGCGTTGACCGTTAGTTTGGACATTGCGAAGGCCTTCGATCGGGTTTGGCACAAGGCCCTTCTTTCGAAGCTCCCTTCCAATGGGCTTCCCGAGAAATTGTGCAATTGGATCACCAGCTTCCTTGCAGATCGGAGCATCAAGGTCGTTGTAGACGGTGCATGGTCCGACTACAAGCCTATTAACGCTGGTGTTCCACAAGGCTGTATGCTGTCACCAACGCTTCTTCTTCTGCATAATAATGATATGTTGCTGATAACATTCATTGCTATGCGGATGACAGCACTGATGATGCTCTATACACCGGCCGTGCCAATAATTCTCGGGAAAACATTGCTGAGCACCAGGACAAATTTGTGTCTGAAGTCGAGTCTTTGCTGAACAAAGTCTCGGATTGGGGGCGACTAAATTTAGTCCAGTTTAATCCTCAGAAGACACAAGTTTGCGTGTTTACCGCTAAAAAAAACCCCTTTGTCATATCTACTCAATTTCAAGGCACTCCCCTTGTTGCCTCAGCCAATATCGGAATCCTCCGCGTCGATATATCGAGTGACGTGCAGTTTCGTGGTCACTTGGAAGAGAAGGCTAAATTGGCCTCTAAAAAGCTTGGCGTGCTTTGCAGAGCGGGACAGTATTTCATGTCGGCACACCGCCTGCAACTTTACAAGGCCCAGGTTCGGCCTCACATGGAATACTGTTCCCATCTCTGGGCAGGGGCTTCGTTGGCCGAATCCAGCGCAGAGCGGCTCGAATCGTCGACGACTGAGTCCTTTCCGATCGGCTCGATTCATTGGCACTGCGAAGAGATGTTGCATCCCTTGCGTTTTCTTTCGCATTTACCACGGGGAGTGCTCTAAGGAATTGTTCGGATTAATCCCAGCCGCCAAATTTCACGAAAGCACATCGCGGCCGAACTCCCGATACCATCCACACCATCTGGATGATTGGCGGTCCACTACTGTGTGATTTAGAAGATGTTTTCTTCTTCGCACGACTTCCTTGTGGAATCGATTACCATCAGCGATTTTTCCAGACCGATACGACTTAGGGACCTTCAAGAAAAGAGCCTGCTTCTTTTTAAAAGGCCGGCAACGCATCTGCAATTCCCCTGGTGCCCCTGGTGTTGCAGTTGTTCATGGGCGGCGGAAGTCACTTGCCATCAGGTGAGCCGCATGCTCGTTTGCCCCTTCTCCTATAAAAAAAATATGTATGTATGCACTCATTATGCAAAATACATATTTATGTTTCATAGTCTTTTGTAAGCCTCATAACGGGAAGCGTTATTAGGTAGTGTTTTACTCTTGGCACGTTAAAGTCATGCAATTTAAGGTTTTTAAAATGTCTTTATCATAACCATATTGCACTTATACGATAATATGAGTAGCCGTATATCAAGAAAACACTTTAATTAACCTATCTTATATTTTATAAAAAATCATTTTGTATTACTACTTGAAACAAAGGTTTAAAAAAATTTTACGTGGACATCCGGATGTTGATTTTGTATGTGGTCACGATAACTCCCGAAAAATTTTACATATCGGGACTGGGTTTTATTTTATTAGCTTCAAAATTACATCAACTGGTTCCCTATTTTAATTTAATTGCCTAGTATGCGTAGTTTGTTAATAAAATTATTTTCAACTTTTATAAGTTGTATTGCTATTAAAAATTTAAAGGCGCTTTCATATTTTTTTGCCTTTGATAGATAAAGGACAATTGTACCATACAACCTATAGCGATTTTATACTTTGTGTAATCGATTTATTTTGGTAGACATTATTAACTTTCTTCCCCGTAGGTGACACTACCTCTTAAAATAATAGAGCGCTAAATTTAAAACATGCAAATAATATATCATCAAAATTAAATGAAACGCTCACGATGCGTGCGCTTTTGGATTTTTCAAACTATTTTAAATTATTTTAGTACGATTCCATTACGTTCTTACGTACTCTGTAAGAATATCCACTACCCCATATCGTCGTGTGGGAGTCGTAAGTCTAGCACTGAACGAAACGTGGAGGGGGACGCGTACGAATTGAATTGCATGAACGCGACTGGAGAGCCAATCAGCGCATGCGAACGATACCCACGAGTCAATCAGCGCGATAGTCACCGCTAGACTATCGTGCCGCTACTTATAGGACACAGGGAAATTGAAACTGGTGATGCTCAGAAGCATTTTCCTGACAACAACTTAAAATACTTAAGGTGAAAGCTCCAGGGTAGCCCGCGAAATTCAAATTTTCTTGTGTTGTTTGGAATTTGCAGATCAGGGTCAGGTTAAATGTTTAATAAAAAATGATTCGCGACCGTAACGAGTATATGTTTATAGAATAATTATCATTAAAATCACCAATACAACCCTCTAAGTTCATATAATCCCTTTGAATGAGTTTTTCTGGAAATAGCCAAAAAACGTAAGACAATTTGAATTTCGCGGGCTACCCTGGTGGTTCCACCTTAAATTATTACGGTTGACAACCCGCTCGCCAAGCGTGTCTACTATAGAAAAATCCCCCCAATGAGGAACTATGGAGCAGGCCTATGTTCAGCAGTAGACTTATAATGGATGTGTGGATGGATGTAGCTCTAGAAAAAACCTTTAGATTTTATATTTCAATTCATGCTTATGCAATAGTCTCATTTTAATATTTAAAGAAATATTATAATATTTAAGATTGATATTTCAAATATAATAGCCATTTAATTTACTACAATAATTTTACAAAACTATTTGGTGCAGTAAATTTACCATATGTTGTCCGTGATACAACTGATTTCCTGTTGGCATAGTGCCATTTCAATTGTTCTACACAAATCTATCTTCTATTTGAATAGGAAATTGGATGATAATCAGCAATTTGTGTGATACATCTACTGTTACAGATTGTAAAGATGAACCTTTTATATTATTAGTTAAAGTGGAATATACATTCAATTTGGAAGAGTTTTTATGATGTCATGTATCCATAGCATTACATGGCAAAATATCCTTATATCGGTTAGTTAACTGTAGAGACTTACCACCATTAGATGGAATGACGATATGATAAAATTTGAAGGAAATCAATGGATGTAAGTAGCTTATCGTATTTTTTGGCATTTCTTGGGGGAGGCTTATGTCCAGCAGTGAACCTGTGAAGGGTTGTAATGATGATAATGTAGGTACTATAATATATATGTTTGAAAATTATTTATATCAAATTAGTATATGTGCCCTTAAATTTAGAATTTGATGTTGTGTTGATATAATCATATTATAACCCGTAACAATATTTCTGAATTTACTAATTTTTCAGAGTATATCTCGCAGTTTATGATTGTTTCAATCCGCTTCCACCTCGTATAATGAAGTCTCTAATTAATAATAAATATTATACTAGTAAATAACTAATACTTTAGATATTCCACTTCACCAGCAAAACCATACCGCAAACCAATACAGCATACAGCAAACCAATTTTTCGACCGCTTGATTATTTGTTCTTTTATTACTTATTATAAGCCAGTGTTTGACCACAATTCCACCTGATGCTAAGTGGTAATGCAGCCTTAGATGGTAAATCGCACTGTCTTAGCGTAACAAAAGCTTATTCACTCTTACCTTGAAGACACCCAGATTATATTTGGACGGAAAGATAGACGCTGGCAAATTATTCTACTCCTTTGCTTTCATCGTCTGCATACCCCATAGATACCAGGCGTAAGCAGATCATTAATATGAAGCAGGAAAAGAGTTGCAGAGAGAACGAATCCCTGAGGTACACCGGCGTTAGTACATAGGATCGCATGAGCAGCCATCGGAGAGACCGTTCACTCAGAAAGTCATTGAACTATTCAATGAGACCAGGGGATAAGCCGTACGCTGGAAGCTTACGTGGCTTAAGGCTAGCGTGCCAAACTCTGTCAAAGGGACTTCGAGACATCAAGGGAAACAGCAAGTGCTTCCCCACTGCTCTTGAGTGCCTCGCCTCATAAGTGTGTGAAATATGTTAGAAGATCCCTAGCTGATCCCTAGAAACCCGTATTGCCGGTCACTAAGTAGCTCATTATGTTCTAGGTATGCCATTAAAGGGGCGTTCAATATACGCTATAATCTTGCAGAGTATGGAGTTAATTGAAATTGGCCGATAGATGGTACGGTCAGCACGGCTACTTTTTTTAGGCACAGACTGCACATTGGGCAGCCATCTTGTCCACCAAATCTTGATTTGAGCAATATTCCAGTTCTGAATGAGAGAACACGCGCGTCAACACAGGAGGCAACTTAGGTTCACATGCTTTTAGCCGTTGTTATGGCTGGTATACCATCAGGTCCACTAGCTTTCTTCACATTTAGACCTCGCAAGGTTTTAAGAAACTCCTTGTTAATATTACGGACCTCTGACATAGAGGTAACTCAGTGAGGTAATTGAGATGGCAACTTTACAAGGCGCAGGTTCGGCCTCACATGGAATACTGTTCCCATCTCTGGGCTGCGGCTCCACAGTGCCAGCTCCTTCCACTTGACCGCATCCAACGCAGAGCGGCTCGAATCGTCGACGACCGAGCCCTTTCCGATCGGCTCGATTCATTGGCACTGCGAAGAGATGTTGCCTCCCTTTGCATTTTCTTTCGCATCTACCATGGGGAGTGCTCTGAGGAATTGTTCGGATTAATCCCAGCCGCCAAATTTCACGAACGCACATCGCGGCAGAACTCCCGATACCATCCACACCATCTGGATGATTGGCGGTCCACCACTGTGCGATTTAGAAGATGTTTTCTTCCTCGCACAACTTCCTTGTGGAATAGTTTACCACCAGCGATTTTTCCGGACCGATACGACTTAGGGACCTTCAAGAAAAGAGCCTACTCCTTTTTAAAAGGCCGGCAACGCATCTGCAATTCCCCTGGTGTTGCGGTTGTTCATGGGCGGCGGTAGTCACTTACCATCAGGTGAGCCGCATGCTCGTTTGCCCCCTCTCCTATAAAAAAAAAACACTGCTGGTACTGTCCAGACGCGGATAGCAAGCGAAAATAGAAGGAAATAAGTCCGCTTTCTACTTAGGCGCATGCGCCAGTGAGCCATCTGTTTTACCAGCGGAAGCAGTGTAGGCCATGAAGCAAATACAAAGAGGAGGTGGTGTAATTAGATTTCACTATGTAACAACGCGTGATAATTTGCGAGGTGAGGTGATGTTAAGCCCTGCCCACTTTTCACTATCTATATCTACCGATAAATAGTGAAACTACTTGAATCGTTCCATATCGATGTTGCAATGTAGTTTAGTTACCTTGACGATAGATGGCGGCCTGTTCACAAAATGATTAAAAATTATAAAAATAATATTTTGGCGATTAAAATTTCATTATGTCTGAATGAAAAACAAATTTCAGCACCTTCGTATGATTATTTTACTAATACTGAGCTCTACGTACCTTTATATTTTTAGTTCACATGACACAAAGTGTCGCCATCTAGTGTTGAATACATATAATTATGTTTGAAAGCCGACGCAAAGATATTTTTCTATGACTATTTTAATAAATTAGGTGTAGAATTACTTAAAAATGAAATGTGATGCCATTCATAGCATCGGAGTGTCTATCTGAGTAGTTTTTACACGATAAAACAGAACACTTCATCCTTTTCTTCTTAATACTACGAAAATACACCGATTTGCAATTTTTAACACATAAGCGCACAGGATAATTGCTGACAGTATACTAAATAAAGCCACGCCCACTATGGTGACATCAGGACCTACTTAGAATCACAGTGCACAGTTGCTTATGCCGTCTCCTCTTTGTATTTGCTTAATGATGTAGACCGACTGAAGTTTGTTTCCACCGCTTTGGCGAGAGACGAAAAAGCTCAACTGACAGATGATCTAACAGAGAGTTTTGTACCGATGTGTTTAATGCGGTCGAAACTGGCTTGCCGTAATGCCTTTTTGCAAGACTTGGCGGCTTGGTTAAAGGCTCTCTTCTTAAGGCTAACATCTGGAGCTTTGCGGTCTCGAGCATCGACCCAGGATAATTACGCCATATGCTTATGCTTTTCAGCATGAGCTCACTCTGCGTTGTACCATGGCCGAGCTTTACCACCAATGGGCACCTCAGCAAAGGGGATGAAATATAATAATGTATCCGCGTAGCTCGACGGATCTTCAGACGAGAAGCAGACCTGTCACCAAGGATAAGATGCAAAGAAATGCCGCATCTTATCTGCTTACTTGTATCGCCACACTTGCCGCACATCGTAGAAATAGTAGTTAGGTGGGGAACGTAACGACACAGATTTCACCAGACAGTGTTCAGAAGTTCCCGAGGGTGAGATAACCTGAACATTGTATCTGTCTGGATCGGTCGTATGTCCATCCACACCAGGTACCCTGGTCGTTTGCTGTACCAACTGGGAGGGCCCCAGCAACAAGGCAAAATTCCACGCCTCTCTCCCAGCGTGGTCGGTCTTCTGATATCGGAACAGCCAGTACTGATGACAGGCATTAAAGTCCCCTAGAAAAACCAAATCTGCATTAGTGTACCGATTTAGAGCCACATCAGAGGCTTCACTGAGGTGTTCAAATAGCCTAGTTGTCTCCTGGTCACCGCTGTGCGATCGGTAGACATAAGAATAAATAATTTAATCCATTTATGTGTTTTTCAATATCCAGATTGTAAAGGTCGTAGATCGTAAAAAGTGGGGTCTATAAGGTGACAGAGACGCTTACAGCAGATGCCGTAGCAGATGTAAACACAGACTCCGGTGCGCTGATGGAAATTATTCTCCAATGTGAACCCAGAGTAGCAAAGATACGCCACATCTAGAGAACATCTGAACTGTGTCTCAGTCAAGAAGAGTAAGAAGAGTAAGTGCGGCTTGTCAGACTCAAGGTGGTAGTGGACTGCATTGAGATTACGAGTACAGTACTAGCCTCGGATGTTTGTGAGGTGCATTTTAATGGAAAGGGAGTGCAACCGCTGTACAAAATGACTTTCTTCTTTTAGTTTATTTTATTATTGGTGGAGTAAATAGGTTGAAAGAATGGCAGTTGGTCTAGGCGTCACACATAGTCAACGCTTAATAATAATAATATATAATTATTAATATTAATGGCGTAGGGAAGTGACTACCCCATCGCCCGCTGACGTAACAGTTAAGTGATAAAACTGCTACGTCAGCGCAAACAGTCAGCACCTTGCCAAGCGGTGTTAGCGCCGTGCCTTGGCAAAATTGAGGGTGCAAAGGCCCGTTTCTTTTTGTTTCCATCATCTATAAATTGGGCGTCTCCCGTTAACTGACGCCCAATTTATGGATGATGGAAACCAATAGACCGCGTATAGGGCCGCTGTCTGGGGGTCGCCGGGGCGCGTCTGGAGCTGGCGCTGGACAAGACAGCATGCGGGCCGCCAGCCGAGCGCGAGGTGCTACACGACCACCTAGTAGCCCCTCGCATCCATCATTCCCACCAAATGGCTTGGTGTCGGCAGGGTTCTCTCGGGCTCGGCAAGCAGTACCCGCCGCTGGTGGAGTACGCCGCATGCGTTGGACGAAGGAAATGAATACAAACGTATTGCGAGCGTATTTTGAGGCGAAATGGGAAGAAATTGGAGGTTTTGCGTACCGGGCTAGGATGCATCGACTATTTGCTGAGCTGGAGCCGTCTATTACCGTTACCGAGAAAACCTGGCAGACCGAGTTGGGTACATCATGCGCTCAAAAATATTTGATGACGCCGAACTCGAACGGCTACGACGTGAGGCTATTCTTTCGTTGAATGAAAATACTACGACAGGTGATGCGGCTCTACGAGTTGCAGAGCAACCCGCACACGTAGATGCCACCTTAGATCTCCTTGTGGTTGACTCAGGCGACGATGGAATAGTCACCCAGGAACAAGAGCAAATGAGGAGCGTATTGGAAGAGGCGATAAGGGAAACGCGCTGTACGCCTCTCGAGAATCGACCGCGACTTTCCCGTATACCCCTAAGCAAGCGCAATCGGGCTGTCGTGAGGGCTCTCAACCCAATGCCGGTGACCTATTTGGAAGCCAGCCGGGACCTTTGTGACACGGACTCAATTCTTTTTGGCGCCACACTAGCAGTTTGCCGTATTATTGACGCCAAACTTCCCACGGCTGGACGCGCTACTAGACACAGTAGCGTCATCCCTGCCTGGAGAAGAAGGATTGAGGACCGGGTCGCAAAGGCAAGGGCCCTCATCGGCAGATTGATAAACTTCAGGTCGGGCAATAATAGGCCAAGAATTGTGCGCACCGTCAGGATGGCGTTTGCTGGGACAAATATCACTTTGTCCCAGCCGGATATAACGCAAAAACTGACGGAGCGTATAGACGACCTGAAGCAGAGAATCGCTGCTTGGGGGAAGCGGATTCGGTGATATACCGAGAGGTCGACACGGTTCAACCTAAATCGTCTCTTCCAGAGTGATCAGAAGAGGTTCTATGAATCATTGGAGCGATCAATGGTACGTGGAACGGGCCCAGCACCAAATCAGGTCGACACTATCGCATTCTGGTGCGGCCTGTGGTCAGAGCCCGTAAACCGCGAGGGTCCTTGGACGGAAGTTGTGGCGAGTGAGTGTGGACTCGACAGACTGCATCACTACTGGCTGAAGGAGTTCGTGGTGTGTCATGTTGTGCTCGCCCGACAGTTTAAAGAGGCTCTCGACCAAAAGTCGCTCCCGAGCCTCTTCACTACTGGGATAACTCATTTGGTTCCTAAAGACCGGGATTCCACAGACCCGAGCAAATACCGCCCCATAACGTGTCTATCTACCATATACAAGACACTTACATCCATTTTGAGCGCGAAAATCACTCGTCACCTGAACTCAAATCAGGTGATGTCGCGCGCTCAAAACGGATGTCGGGGCGGTGGTCGTGGAACAAAGGAACGACTCCTCATTGACGCGGTCATTAGCAAGGTGGTTAAACGCAACCGTCGGAACCTCTCCGCTGCCTGGATAGACTACAAAAAGGCTTTCGACTCGGTGCCTCGTACATGGCTTAAGAGGGTCCTTGAGCTGTACAAGGTTGAATGTACTGTTCGAGACTTCCTCGGGCAGTGTATGGGGCAGTGGAGGACGATCCTTTGTCATCTAGGCCAGCAGAAGATGGCTGCAGAGAACCACATAAGGATAAGAAGGGGTATACTCCAGGGTGATTGTTTGAGTCCAATCTGGTTCTGCCTCTCTCTGAACCCTCTCAGTACCTTACTGGAGGGCTCCGGGAGGGGATTTCAGCTTCGGAAAGGAGGTACAAAAGCGACCCACCTTTTCTACATGGATGATCTCAAGTTATTCGCCTCCAGTCGCTCCCATCTTATGGAATTGCTAAACATCACGTGTGATTTTAGCAATGAAAGCCGAAACAGATAAGCTGACTAAATATCTGGACCTTGCTCACGAGGTAACCGACATGTGGGGTGGATTGCCGGCCGAAATTATACCTGTAGTCGTCTCTGCGAATGGGTTAATTCCAGTCAGCGTCTCGGGTCATCTGAGCCGACTGGGACTCCGTGACGGACCGCTCCAAGCTCAAATGCAAAGGCGGTGCTCCTCGATACCGCCCGCATCGTCCGCCGGTTTCTTTCCCTTTCCCCCTAACCCTCGGCCGTCTGGTCTCCTCTGCTGAGGGCTTCCATCTGGTTGGGTTTTTATATATTTATGTATTTTTTTTGTATTTATTTTATTTTATTGATATTTATGTACGTTTACCATGTTTATTTACAATTATATATTTATATTGCCCAACCAGATGAGAAAACTTTATAGATGCCTGCCCCATAATAATAATAATAAATCATTTATTTTGGACCAAACCTTTAGTACATTTTTCACACTCACCAAACTGCGTAACAGTTTGTCGGCGGGATTAGTGCTTGCCTTAATACATATGGTTCAAATACATAAGTATA